CTTTGCAATCGTATATTTGCTTAGTGATTTAAATGGTTTGTTTCCTAAGTTGGTTTTAGGATTAACTCCTTAACCACACTTAGTTTATTTGAATTGCGTGATTTTTGGATAACACTCGGGGCAAGTGTTACATCTTATGAATGTGAATATGATCTTTATAATTGCCCACATTTGAAAAGCCTTAAGTCGTGTCAAGCTTCTTAAAGAAATTAAGGTGTAGTAGTATGATCACCTTAAGTCATTTTATCCTTAAAGAGCAAGCATTTTACAATCAAATCAAGCTAATGACAATGACAAATTGAAGGTCTAGAATTGAATTGAAGAGATTAAAAGAAAATTTAGGTGTTTATATTTGATTTTAGTGTAAAGAAAATATATAGGAATCAACCAAATATCAAGTAGATTCCTAAGATTATAATTCACCACTTCCATCCCTGTTCTTCCTCACCTAGTTTTAGATTCAATTGGTGTGTGAAGGTGTCTTAATAACTATCAAGACTAGATGATAGTGATTAGAGCCTAATAACTACTTAGAATCCAATGCACAAACCACACAAAATTGATACACCAATATATGATTCGATCCTTAAAACTAGTCCTAACTCTTATCTTGATCATGTTTAACACCTGTAACTAATTAAGATTATGATATTAACTCAAGTTTAAAACCTAAACAATAGCTAATACATGTTCAAACAGTAAGAGATTGAAATGAAAATATGTATTTGTTCATCAAAACTTTAAGGCATAAACACAAATACTTAGAGTACACAACTAGTTTAAGAATCAAATACACATATCTCCTCTTTGGAACATAAATTTCAGCCATAATAATTAATTTAAGACCTAGAATCAATCATCAAGAGCATGAATTATAGAATTAAAAAGGAGAAGAGAAGAATCCAAAGCAATTGAAAGCAAGAGAAAAGGTTTATGAGAACTCAGGATGTGGCTTCATCTTCATTAGCAAGCATTGAGAATCTAGCCTCTCGTGACGAATTGTCCTTGAATTCAAGCTTGAATCCTCCTTGAGATGACTTCTATGGTTCTAATAAGTACTTGAGATGAAGGAATGTGGCTAAGAAAGTATTAAAAAATGACAGAAAATTTGGATGAAGTGGTGATGAAAATTTCAAAAAAGTAAGAGAGAATAAGCGTGAATTGTGATGTAGAAAATGAGTGTGTGCACAACCCAAAACCTCTATATTCAGCTTGTCATGTTGTAAAATGAATAGAATGGGATGGGTTTTAAGTGATAAAAGCCATAAAATATCTTAAACTACTTAACAAACTTAGTTAGGATGTTCAAATGTGGCTACCATTGAAGCTAAGTTAACTTGGATGCATGTATAGACTTTATAGGATGCTTATCATTTTCTCAACGTTATTCTCATTTATCACAAAATCCATTTATTCATTAACACACATCTATCTCTACACAACATCAAATTCACCTTTCTAAAGACAAATGCATGTTTATAATTTGAAAACCATCTTAATTTCACATTTTGCATTTCAAGCTAAAAATAACACTATACACATTTAAATTTTCATACACTTATTGAAGTTAATACATTCTTTGACATTGAAAATCAATTCATGCATGCAGCATTTACAATTCATAATTAGCAAACAATTAACAATTAATTAATATATAACTATTCAAAGTAAGGTTTTGCCAATTACCTCAAACCTTTGAGAGGTTAAAGATTTGTCCCTCAATATTCTAGCTTAGTTTTCTTCTCCTTTCAATGCCTGGGTGGCCCAACTTCATACCAGACTCATAATTAAGGCTGAAACATAACAAAATTAGTCATTAAACGTTCCTAGCCATATATCATGTCAATTTAATTAATTATCATCATTAAGCCTAGTTAATCTGAGGATTAAAATTCAAGATGTTACAATTTTCATCTTTCATCTATCCTTCTTCTCTTTCTCTATGGAGAGAACAACCCACCAACATGAGACAGATTATGATGAGTGATGACCAACAATTGAAAAAAGGATTTCGATTTAATAAAGGCAATGTAGAGTTGGTGGTGAAGTGGAGTTGCCGATGAAACTCATGGAACGCTAAGAAGGTTGAAGAAAAGACCTATAAACGACAGATACATAGAGGTCATTGACGAGAATGAACTGCCAGGAACACGAAGAGGTTAAGGTCTCTGCTTTTTGTTTTAGAAGGTCATAGACAAGCAATCAGAGCTGAAAGAGAAGAAGCTTCTGCATTTTTTTTATTTTCACGTAACCCACCCAACTCGCTTGACCTATGAGGTTGGATGGGTCTGGTTCACTCAGGTCAACTAGCACCCAATTTAACCACAAAACTGAACCAGACACATTGCTGGTTCATTGGTTCAGTTTTACAAACCATGCAATAATTGTGCTTAATTTTTTTTATATAAAAGAAACTTTCATTAAGGTTAAAAAGTAAAACGAGATACACATAAAAGGCCCTTTAAAAAGAGCTCTTAGTTCAGGCTAAAAAAGAAAAGAGCTCTCAAAAACCCATAATAAGACATAGACAAAACGCAAACTATAAAGTATAAAAGAAAGAAATAAAGATGCAATTTATATAATTATGCTTATATAATGACGATGAGTTGTACCCTTTATATTGGACAAAAAAAATGTTGTACCATTTATGTTTCATGTATAACATATTAAGTACTACAAATTTGATATTGAAAGCGATTTATATACTATTTTATATTTTTATTATTAGATTCTTATAAATTTTAAATATCACATATTAATCTATATATATAGATATAGTAAAATCTACAGTTGGATGAACAGTATCATGAATTATTCTTTTTCTATTTAATTTTGACTGTATATATTAATAGTTCATGTGGGATCCATAACAAAAATTAAAAAATAGGTGTGAGACTCACAGTAAAAATACTTATAGATAATTAACGGTAGGAGATTTATCATTTGTTATTTGTATTTTGTATATGTATAAGATAATTAATTGTATATAACATACAAATTTAAATAATAAATTACAAGATATAATATTTTATTATTTAAATCAATTAACTTATTCCTATTTTTTATATATGAGTAAATTTTAATCAATTCACACATTTTTTTTAAAAATAGTTAGCCCTAATAATTTATATATATATATATATATAGTAATCCATCACACAGTACTGTTCATGTACAGTTGGATAAATAATATCATGAATTTTTCTTTTTTTTTTGCTAATAATTATGTTTGAAATTGAATAGTTTGAATTAAGATACACTTATGATTAAGATTTTATTTTTTCTTAATTTAATAATATTATAATTTAATAAAGAATAATTAAGGAGAGATATCATGAATACTTTTTGAAAATTATTGTTTTGCAAGTAAAATAATAACAACAAACCATATGAAAATTTTTCTTGTATTTAAAAGGGGGAAAATACATAGTAAAATTTGACAATGGATTATGATAGAGCTATGATAATTTTATAAGATATATCAAATTTGGATTTAATGACTAAACAAATCTTATCACTTGATGAGGGTCACATGCGGCACAATAATAATTATTCAATTTAATTGAATTGTTATAAGATAATTTGTCATAAAATACTAAAAAATAACCAAATCTTAAATTTGTAAAGAGGATAATGAATGTGAGGAGTCTTTCCATCGTGAGAGTTATTTTAAAGTTGTATAAATAAATACATCTTGATAATTTTTAAGTATTAATATTATTCAATGATATAATTGATGTATTTATTGAATGACTTGATTTAGGTCACCTAACAAATTCAAATTTAAGATAAATTACTATAATTCTACAGTAATCCAACTATTTTTTAAAAATTATTTTTTTAAATATTGAAGTCGTTAGCATTAAATGCTGTAGATAACTATAGTCAATTATAGTTTTAAAATTATGTTTTAATCTATCTACTTTTTTATTATAAATGTCAAACTTGTAATAAAACATAAATGGAGAATTTATAATAAAATTTAATTTTTACAAATGATAGAAACTCAACTCTACAATTTCAAATTCAAAACCAATTACCCAACAATTACTTTAAATAATGAATATATAAATCATCATTTAAATAAAAAATATTTAAACTGTCAAGAAAAATATTTGATGTGAGCTTAAAAAAAAAACACTCATTCTATGTGCAAAAAAATGATATGACTCATTTTTGAAATTAATACTGCACAATTAACATATTATTTAGGTTTGTGTAAACTATTCATATATAAAAATAATTAAATCAATAAATTTAATATGGGGCCTTTTCAATGTGATGTACATTAATCTATAAACACTTTCATTCATTGTCTTCTAGAATGATGCTATATATTATATGAAATACTCCAAATCCTTAATAATATCATTTTGCATAACCCTTCATTCTATTTAATCCAAAACATAGGAAAATTTAGCACCTTGAATTAAAAAATCCAGTCTAGCATAGTAAATTTTGTAGAGATAATTAAAAATTTAAAACATATAAACTTAAACTTCATCATAACCATAAGTACGAATGTGTGTGTGAACAAAACCAAGAAACCAAAAAAAAAAAAAACGTAATCATCCAAAGGAAAAAAAAAAAACAGAAAAAGTAGGTAATAAAGGCAAAAGAGTTTTTATGTGCAATAAATTTGGAATGAGTTATCGTTTGAATAAAAAATATTAAATCATCAAAGAAAATAAATTTGAAGCAAGCTCAGTTAATAGGATAATAAATATTAGTTCCCTGTAAAATAAATTAATATATTTCATTTTTTACATTAATACTGCACAACTAATATAGTATTAAAATACATAATATGTAAATTATTTATATGTAAAAATAACTAAATCATTGAATTCAACTAATTTTAGATGTATAATATAATTTATCAGCGTAAGCATAATAAAAGATGCACGGAAAAAAAATCTAGTTAGGTGTAAAATCATGGTGTATTTATCAGAAGTAAAATAAAGTTCTAATTTTGTATGGGGAGAAAAAAGATCATTGAATCAATTTGAAGTTTTGTTTCTTTTCTTTGGCCTGAATTTGAAGTTTTGTTGCTAGAACAAAGCTTCGAGCAAGAGACGAGACTGTTGTGAGCTATCAGACTGCGTTCCGCGCTTCGGGGACACGGAGATGAAAAACGTGCTGAGTTCAGATTAGCCGAAGGCGACCGCTTTCATTAGAAGTGTTCGATTCTTGATGTTTGATTTCACAGGTAATTCTGATCACTTCAATGGCGGGCATGGGCTCAGGGACATCGCCACCATCGGTGAGGTCGTGGAGGACCGCTTTCTTGACTCTCAGAGACGAAATCCTTACCCCCCCTCCTCGTACTTCGCTCGCCCAAATGCTAAATAATCTCATTTTCTCCCATTCACACGCTTTGTTGTCTGCCGTCCCTGAACTTCCTTCTCACGAGGTATCCCTTCGAAAGCTGATTGCATGCCATCAAGTCATCTTTTCATTTAGTTCTCCACTTGCTCTAACTCCTGGTTCAAATTCATTCTTTTGTAAGGTTTTGTCCGACATTTTGTTTATGCTGGAGTTGGTTGCAACTACTTCTGCCAGTGAAGAAGAACTGACTCAAGTCTTTACGCAAACATCACGCTTGGTACAAGTTAATTGTTCATGCATATGCGGGACAGATGTTACTAAAGGGGGCTCCGTATTGATTTTCTTCTCTTCTATTCTTGTTGTCACAGATCCATGATATATCTCGTCGCATGGATTTGGAAATGAACGCTCTCTCGTTGACCCGTCTCCTTAATTGTTTCGGGAAGATGCTGGATCTTTTTATCGGGAAGGCTATCATTGGGGACGAGCTAAGTAGAATTGGAAGTAATACTTCAATGAGACATGCGATCGAATGTGTACAGGCTATCAGGTCCTTTCATCCACATGACAAATCTGACACTTTAGGATTCTCTCAATTAGAGTGATAGTCGACAGTTGGAAAATATATCTTTAGTCTTTTTAATGGTTTGTATGTCCAAATTCACCATCGTTTCCTCCTTGTCCATCAACCCAAACATACTCTAACTGCAATCTTGCCTGGAAAGTCCCTGCCGGTGATTTATTTATGTATTTATTATTTATCATTAGGACAGTTGTAGTTTGGAAAACGCGAAGGCTAGGTTACTATGATTTATTTTGAAAGCACACTCTTTCTCCTTTTGAATTTTTTAGATATACTGCTTATCTGAGATTACGTATTTGATTGTTACCGAACAATACTACGTAATCTTGGTTGTTTATTCTCTTTAATATAAGAAACTTCAATTCTATACTGCATTGTTGAATTCTTGCAAACGTACTTACAAGGGCATATTGCACTTATTGACCTTCTCTTGTGCTTTTTAGTTTTAGAAAAGTTTATGCCTGATATATGAATGGGCCAATCTTCTGTTGTTGATAAAAGCAGTGCCCTCTAATATGGGAAGGGGTTCTATGTTGTTTGTCCTTCATTTCCATTGCATCCCTGTTAATACCTTTCTATTTCCACTGTACAAAATTTGTCCCTCTTCAGATGTATTACCACTTCATCTCAACAAAGATGGTTGCAGTCTGAAGACATGCTGCTAGTTAAGTTCCTACTTAACATTATTGTGAGAACTCATGCTGTGCCATGTTGGATGCCTCGTTCAACTTGTGAAGAAAGATCAGCTACTGAGACATCGATGAGGTTATCTAGAGACAGCAGTTCATGGGAATTACAAGGTGTAGCTTTTTCTATGCTTGGTGGAGCAATGTCAAAAGATGGGTCGTCCTTTCCAGTTGATATCTGGAGATCAATAATTGAGGTATACAAGAATTCTGTGTCGGTTTTAATTGGAGCTGTCTGTTTGGTCCTGTGTTTTAATACAAACAAGATACAACAACTGGCCTTTTCCAAAATAGGTGCTTCGAAAAATAATGGATGGCTTGGTATCACAAACCCCAATTGTGGAAGACATTGTTATGTCCAGGTAACCTGCCTAATATATTATCCAAACATAGGGAAATTAAGAAACTCTTGAGAGATTGCAATGCTCCGGTCATGTTCTTTCTTATTCCCACTGATGCATCTCTTTTGCAGGTTTTATGAATCCTTTCTGCATTGTTTGCATTTAGTTATTTCTCATGCCAAATGTTCTGTATCAGATCATGTAAGCTTCTATGCCCTTCTTTATTAATAATTTGAACGAGTCTATCTGTAGCCATTTTGACATTTCAGTGGTTTTATTTTTTTAAAATGAATATCATTTTTTTAGGTGTCAGTTTTTGTATCTGTCCTACGGATGTTCCTTACTTATGGCCTTAATAGCAAAATACCACATACTTGTCTCCTCATCGGTAGTGAGGAGAAGTGTCCTAGTATGATGATTCCTAAGGCAAGTTTGGGTCAAGGGAACAAGTCCAATCGTGGTGCATATAGGCCTCCACACTTACGCAAGAAGGAGTGTACAAATTTGAAGCATAATAGGGCTTGGCATTCTCATTCTCCAGATAATGCAGAAGAGAATGAATGTTCTACTTCCTGTGTTGCATCTTCAGATTCTGATTTCAGTGATGGTGATGGACCAGCTAAGGATAGTGATAGTGTGCAGAAGTCTAGGGTCAGAGTAGCTTCCATAATTTGTATACAGGTAAATTTCTTAAATCTTTCATATACTTCCTTCCAAAAGTACTTTTATGAGCACTTAATACTGAAATGTTATTATATTCTGATAGGATCCAAGATAGGTAAAGAAAAATAAGGAAGATAAATCTCTGTTAACATATGAAATCAGAATCTAACTTCATAATATTAATAAAAGAACATAGAACTGATAGAAGAAAATAGAAGGAATAAATCTATTAAGATGATATAGAACAAAAATCTCGTTCTATAATCTCTCAATAGTCATGGTTAAGAGAATCTCCAAAGGACTAAAAGTTTGTTTTATTTATGATATGCTTGCTTTTGTTAACTATATTTATAATATTAAATACAATCTAAAATAATGAATAAGATCTAAATAACTACATAATTAAATAAAATACTGAATAAAATCTCCTATAATCTATATTACTAAATAAAATCTAAATAACTAGATATCTGGATAAATATCTAAATAAAATCTAGGTAACTAAATACCTAAATAAAATATAAATAATATTAGAAAATATCTAAAATAAATTAAAAATAATATTTATTCCTAATATATTTCTAGCCTCTCAAATTATCCATTATCTTTTCATAATTGGTACTCTATCATATTCTCCCAACATTCAAATATATGAGTACGTAAAAAGCCTCAAATAGTCAAATGCTAGGATGGAGAATACCTGAAGCAATAGTGTTGAGCAATTCAAACTAACTTATGACCTGCTATTTTACCATCACATTTTTTTTACTGTTTTATCTCCTCTTACCCACTGTCACATTGTATATTTTTTTACAATGTAAGTTAATTCTGTAAAACTTATGTTTACTGTGAAAACAAAGTTTCCATGTGAGATTAGATTCCAAAAATGATAAAAATGCGGACGGATGAATGAATTATGTGGAGGACGAAATCAGCAGAAGCCATTTTTGTTTATAATATGGTGTTCAACACACTTGCAAATAAACTCATGGAGCCCTAATGCATCGTCTATTGCAAAATTGAAGTGTTATATACATTATATAATCTAGAATAAGCACAGAAACATCCATAAAATTGAACGCAGCATCATGTAGAAAGTTCAAGAGCCTACTTCTGGGAAGAATAGCTTTGTCAATTTTTTAGAAAAGTAAGTTTTAAAATGTAATGAAAGAGAAGAAATTAGGTCAACATCATTTTGTTTGGAAGAAGGTGATAACATTATATTAACTGAAACTAATTTACACTAAAAGGGGCAATGCCCTCTATACAAAAAAATTACATCATGCATAGAATCAAAATAAACACAGTTTGCAAGAAGCAAAGGACCCAACTTAACACCTTTGTATACCTATTCGTACGTATGAAAAAGCTATTTCCATTTAGCAATTAAATCATCTTATCCTATGAAAAATTTGAGTACAATTTAGGAGTTTGTGTCGGAAAAAAAAGGAATTCTTGGCCTGCCAAATAGCATAAAGTCATAAACCATGGTACAAAATACAGCCACTTGAAGTTTATGCACCAGCCTTGTTTTCCCTTCTAGCTTGCATAAAAAAGTGTTGCCACAAATAATTTATGTGAGCTGATATCAAAATCAACATAGGCCATCAATATTTTTACAATCTATGTGGAAATAAGGCATTCAAAAAATATTTGGCCGAAAAAAGGCATTCAAAAAAATAAGTAATCAAGTGTCTTAGAATGAGCACAATAGGAATTGCAAAGATCATCTTGTAAGAGCTCAAAGCATTTTAGTCGGTCCTTAGTAGCTAATCTGTGATTAAAAATCAACCAAGTAATTATTGAATGTTTTGGTAGTGTTTACTCAATAAACAAATTTGAAAATTTCTTGTAAATCTTGCTGCTAATGTTGTTAGTAAAAGATTGGTTACTTTCCCATAAAGTCATTAAGGTGGCACTGATTTAAAAAAAAAAAATCATTTTGTTATTTAGATGCTATGTTTGCTATTATTGATTACTGATGAGAAATTTCTTTTGGTGGTTAAATATTCAAATGGTGGGAAGGATCTTTGTCAAGCTGAATTTAAATCCTTCTCCACACAATGGTCCATACTTTTTCCTACCACTGATGTACTACAACCAAGGTACGGAATTCATCTTCTTGTCCTAGTCCAAAGTTTTTTTGTGCTAACCTTTCTATTTGACTGTTGATTTTGCTTTCTGTTCTAATTATGCATTCTTTGATCTGCATATCTGTAGGAAGTCTGATGCAACTCTAATGACATGCCTGCTGTTTGATCCATATTTCAAGGTATTGAATCTTTTCTATTTTTTTGTGTTTAATGACTTTTTCTCTCAATAAATGATGTCCTTTCCCATGCACATATATATATATATATATATTTCTGTTATGGGTTTTAGTGCATGCATTTAAATTAATAATTTCTTTGCTGGATTTGAACGTGTTTAATGATCTTATTCAAGTTTGATACAGTGGTTCTCAGCTAAAAGGTGGTACTTTATGATGTCTAGGTGCGGATGGCATCTGCGTCGACTCTTGCAGCCATGTTGGATGGTCTTTCATCCACTTTCCTTCAAGTAGCAGAATATAAAGAATCCAGTAAATTTGGATCTTATACAGCGCTTTCGAATTCCCTTGGGCAGATTTTACTGCAACTCCACAGAGGTATCTGATGACAATTTCTTGTTAAATCAATTAGTTTCCCAAAAAACTCTCTCATGATGGTTTTGTCATTTCCTTTAGTTATTCTTGATGTGTTTCGACTCATTTGTTGCTCAATTTTCCAGCCAATTTTGTTCTTTTTTTGTTATGTAGGTATTCTATATTTGTTACAACACGAAGCTAATGGTAGGTTGCTAGCATTGCTGTTTAAGATTCTCAGGCTGGTGATATCATCAACACCGTACGTATTTTTTCCAACATTACTTTTATTCAGTTGCTTTTAATTGCAACTGCAGTGTTGGATTTACTTATTTATTATTTGATTATCTCATAAGTTAATGTTGAGGCATTAGGGATTTGGAGAAGTGAAGGTTAGTGCTTAAACTTATAAGTTAATGTTTCTTTCTTGGGCTTTTTTTTCCCCCTTTTTCTTTTTCTTTTTTTGAGTTATGATGGTGGGATTAGATTGTTTCTCTCGTTATAGTATTCTGTGGATTTTGGTTAGCTGGCTTTGCTTGCTGCTGATGCAGTTTTTTACAGTGTTTAACCTCTTTTTCCCTGTGGAAATGTAATTGGGTTTTTGTTTGATTAGATATTCGAGAATGCCACCATATTTGCTGCCTAATGTTGTTACATCTCTGAGGAGAAGGATTGAAGAGGGTTTTCGGTTCCAAAGTGACCCGACTGGTCTAATGGTTAGTCTTAGTTGTTTGCATATTTCCATCATTTCTTATTCCCTGTGGTGCAGCATTGTATGTGACTCTGTTATGTTGGTCTGTTCTGCCAGGGCTCTGCTCTTGGTTGCTTGTCATTGGCTCTGTCTACCTCACCTTCCTCAGCTCATGTCAGGAAGATGCTTTTTGAGGAGGTTTCTTCAGGTGATCCTTTATATATAGAAAATAAATGAGTTTACAAATATGATAAATTTCACATAACATAAAATTGACGAGATGTGGTAAAGCCCTTGGGAAGGATTTCATCCAGAGGTCAAGCAAAATGGTCATTGGTTACATGGTTGAAAATGAATGGTGTTTTGTGCTCCAAATAACAAAAGAAAATAAGAGAAACAACTCTATTATGATGATATAGAACAAGAATCTCATTCTATATTTCTCTCAATAACTACACTTAGGAGAATCTCCAAAAGGGTTAAAGACTATTTTATTGATGATATGCTAGTTTTTGAGTTGCTAGGCATATTTATGAAGTCAAATATAAATAAAATCTAGATAACTAGATAATTAAAAATTAAATAAAATCTAAATATAAATAAAACTAAATAAAATCTAAATAAGGTTTAAAGAACTAAATATATAAATAAAATTTCCTAAAACCTATCCTAAATAATGTTCAAATTCAAATCAGATAATGACAAAATAAAATCAGATTTAATTTATCTTCTCTTGGTTCCTTCTCGAATAAGTCTTTAAGGGAATCTTATTTAGAATTTTATCAAACGGTCCCTAGTTGACTTTTCTAGACTTAAACTTGCCAAGTACATAAAATTAGGAGGATTTTCTTTGGGTTACAGTAGCATTCAGAAATTGAACTTGAAAGATGAATGAAATTTGAGGGGGTCCTTGGGGAAGGAGTGAAAATTATAAGTTAGCAGAAAAAATTATGGCCCTCCACTTTTCAAATATTTATGTTGCATTCACCAGAAATTTTTGATACGAATTGGAACTACATATCTTACTTAAAGCTGGCTTAGATTTTGTCTGCAGAACCTGGTTTTCAGGCCTAACAAATAAACCAGGAGATCCTTTGTTTTGTTATTTATCAGATGGAGTGTGACAAATTTAGAAAGTACCTTCTTGCTGTGCTTATAACTTTTTAATTTTTGGTCTGCAATGTTTATTGCTTTTAAGGTTCTTATTTTAGATGGAACTGCTACACTAGGGATTAGGCATTGGTTTATGATAGACAGTTGAAATTGCCTAGCAAAGGTAATACCTCTGTATTCAATAATGGGAACTTCTAATGGTTGTTGGGATATTATTATTATTTTTTTTTGTTGAATGTTGGGGATATTATTTAAAATTTTGAACTGAATATGTTGAAATAGGTGTACGATAGATTTTGTATATCTCAGTTTTTGTGCTATGGAAAATGAATCCTTTTCTTTCAACTATACCAAACATGGTATACGTAATGAAAAATATGGTACTTTGATTGCTATAATCTTAGCCTATCGTCGAAGCTGCGTTTCTGCTGTTTTTTTAAGTTCAGTATATAACCACCACCATGTTTTGGTCACTTAACATTCGAGCTGATAAGACTAGTGGTGTCTGACCTAGTTGTATGTATCATGTGTTAAGTCACAACAGATTACTGGCTGGGTTTAATGTTGCTGTGTTGGCAGGGTTTTTTTTTTTTTTGGTGCCCTGTGCATTACTTTGTAACTGTTGCCTTTTCCTTCAGTTTCCAGTGAGGCTGAAAACAAGTCAGGTGTTCTTTTTATGTTATTTGAATATTCAGTGCAATGGAGCTCTCCAACCATTTGCCTTGAGGCACTCCAGGTAATCTTGGTGAAGAACTTCATTATTTCTAGTTAATTTTCTGAGTTGTTAGTGATCACAAATGGAGACAGCGACTGGTTTTCAAAAATTACTTTTGAACTTACATTTGAAAATTTATCATTCTAAGAATTGGTCAATTTACTAGTATTGTCTTTTGCAGGCACTTAGAGCTGCATGCCACAATTACCCCAACATAGTTTTTGAATGCTGGAAAGACATTTCTTCTACTGTGTATGCCATCCTTGGTGGAGCTTTCCCTGAGGTACCCTCAAGGAGCTCAAGTAACTATGTTGGTTGCTCTACAGTATTTATTGGGGAAAAAGTTATTACAGTTTCTATTAAGGTAACAATTTTCCCTTTTCCCTATTTTTATTTTTATTTTATTCATGCTGAATAATCTTTTTTCACATTGTGGAATAAGCCTTTTAGTCATGTTTTTTGTGCCACTATCGTATATAATCCATTTTAGTTCTGACAAAGCCTAAAGGGTTAAACAAGGACATTCATTGTTTTTTTGGCATTCTTCTCTTCTATATTTGTCCATTTTTCTCTATTTATAACAATTTAGATTATTTATCTTATTCATATATTTGCTCTGATCTTTTTATCATTATTCTATGAGCAAAAAAAGAGATTGAACTTGTCTTATTCCAGAGAAACTGATTACATATATGGAGGATTGATAGCAACATTCCTGCTACTCAGATCCAGATGTTAGGCAAAAAATAAGGAAAAGTAAACAAGTCTCAAATCTGTACATAATTCTGTAATGTAAGTAAATAATAACATAGGATATTAATAGGAAGATAAGGAGAATTTGCTCCTGCCTATGCTAGAGTAAGCAAAATCTTCATAGATTTGAATTCAGTTACAGAAGCAAATTGTCTCTTTGTAGTCAAGTCCATGTGTTAGTGTGATCCCCCGAGCCACCAATCTGGCCTTGTATCTGCTTACACTCACCATCTAGATTGTACTTCATAGTAATACAGCCAACCGTAGACTTCCCTTGTCGTAGCTTGGTTATTTCCTAGTTCTGATTCTTTTCAAGTGCTTTCTACTCTTCTTGAATAGTTACTCTCCATCAAGGATCCTTAATAGCTTCCTAGTAACTCAGGCAATTTTTCAGATGATAATCAGTTACTAAAGCCCTTAAGTTAGGTGATAACATCTCATAAGAAACACACAGATTGAATTTGTATGTCTTATTCCAGAAAAACTGATTACATATATAGAGGATTGATAGCAATATTCCTGCTATTCAGATCACATGTATAAGGTGAAAAATAAGGGAAAATTTAATGAGTATCACATCTTTACATGATTCCTAAAAGTCAGAAAATATTAACACAAGATTATAGGAAGATAAGGAGGCTAGCAATCCACTTAGAGGACCTGACAAATAAATGCGTTTCTCTTTCTAGGTTAAGATCTGATAAATCTTATGTAACTTTTCAGGTTTTGGATGAGTGTCTTCGTGCAGTATCTGGTTTTCAAGGAACAGAAGATCTTTCAGATGAGAAGCTAGACGATATTCCTTTTGCATCTGATTGTATCAGGATGAAGAAAGTCTCATCGGCTCCATCTTATGAGCCAGATAGCAGAGATGAAGGTATAGTCTTTTTTAAAGCATGTGAATCTGGCATCCAGCTATGGCATGAGGCGATTGAGAAGTACATACCACTTACATTAGGTCATTCTTCTGCAATGGTGAGAATTATAATTTTCTTTTTCAGTAATAAGAAATTTCGCATTATGTTTCATTCTGAAAAATCAACATTGCTTTGCTAACTTTAATCCTATTATTTGTTATGTGCAAACTTGTTTTCTACCTCTTCAAGGTTGTTTGTGCTCCTGTGACATTTGTTGACATAAAAAATTATGAGTCGCACACTTAATGATCCTTCTTATAGCGTTGGCAAAAAGGGGGAGAGGTTAATGTAGATGGAGTATCTTGGCCATTATGAAGTATAGATATGGAGTACAACGCGGGCATGATGTGATACTAATTCAGGGATATGGAAAATTCATTGAAATAACATTAATTTATCAATATTATCAGTGTGTCCTCTGGAAAACTACTGTATGCTATCAAGTTTTTGCTCAAAGAAAGTATGTTCATATCAGATTGGGTGGGAACCAACTTGGTGATTATTGCTACTCTTGGTAGCCCTTGGAAATTTATAAAGTAACCTCTTTAAGGTTTGTTGAGGGGTGTCTACAGAGATTTTAGGATTATAAATCATACTCACTCCATCCCAAATTATAAGACATTTTTAGACACAATCTCACATACCAATAAACCTCATTAAATACACTTAACAACCTTATCTTTCCAAAACAAAAATATAAAATTCCAAAAATACCCATCATTTAATTTATTAAAAAGAGAAGTGATGAAAATTAATTATAGAAAGAGAAAAGATAATATTGGAATTGGTGCATTTAATGAAACCTTAATTTACTCAAAGTGTTATAGTTTGGAACGGAGAAACTCCTTCAAAAGTGCCTTATAATTTGGGACGAAGGGAGTAGGAAATATTCCTTTCTTCTTGAACTTTTTGAATCTCTACCAACTTTCCTCTCCATCCAATGCTTTGTTTCAAAATTGTTGACCAATGAAGGAGAATAAATATTCTTGGGATTTTCATTTTATGAGGCATACAATTGCTAATAAATTTGAAATTCTTTCATTTTCCTATTGTCTTTAGTTTTTGAAGGGGACTTATATAAGTTAATGTCTAGTGAGATGGGACAGTTATGTGGCTATTATTTGTTTTTTCTTAATTATTAATTTGATTTTGCAAGCATGTTTCATCCTCCTTATCTCCTTTGTGGTCTGACTTGTGTTTTCCTCTTTATGGAAGGTGAGAGCCGCATCAGTCACTTGCTTTGCGGGTATGACTTCTGCAGTATTCATATCTTCCACTAAGGATAAACAGGATTTCATTATGTCATCTTTAGTAAGTTTTGATGGAAAATGCTCAGTTGTTGCTTCAGTTTCCTGGATTGAGCGAATAAAACTGTCAGCTGGTTTTTTTAATTCAAATGCCTAAAATTATGGAAAACATTTTTTGTAGATTAATGCCGCATTACACGATGATGCACCATCAGTTAGGTCTGCTGCTTGTCGAGCCATTGGTATCATCTCATGTTTTCCCCAAGTTTGTCAGAGGTGATACTAAAATTTGAAGAATAAATACGATGACTATCTTATTTGTTTTATCTACGACTTGCCAGAATAAATGTGAAAAGTTTAATAATGTTTTGCAGTGCAGAGATACTTGACAAGTTTATTAATGCTGTTGAGACAAACACTCGTGATCCCTTAGTCTCAGTAAGGCCTACTTGACTATTGAAAATTTTACATAGTGGTACGCATATTTGTTACTTGAACAGCCACTCAGGCAGTTTGTAACTTCAGGTAAGGATAACGGCTTCATGGGCTTTGGCAAATATCTGTGATTCTATCCGTCACTGTGTCAGCTATCTTCCTTTTGGATGTACAGGTGGGGTTGAATATTGCTGGTTTGATATTGTCAAAAATTGTGTATTTGAAATTTGAATTGTCAGCAATTTTTTATTTGATGATGCTTTCTTTCTTTCTGTTGACCAGGTACACATGCTAACCCTGAGTTGATCATATCATTGAGCGAGTGTGCTTTGCATTTGACAAAGGATGGAGACAAGGTAAATAATTATGTCTGTTAGATCTATGTTCCATTTTTACCTTTTTTCTATCATTTCTCACGGAAGAATTGTACTGTTTATCTATTATCCACATTGGACGTTTACAACTGGATGGTTGTTTTCTCCTGATCAAGTACACGCTAATTCAGAAGTTGAAAGCAAACCTATCTTGATAATGCTGCATAATTTTTTCATTATATACAACTAAAAATTGGGTTGTTTTATTCCGTTATCTGGTTTTCCTTGTACCCTTTCCACGAAAGTATTGCTTTTAAATCTCTGTGGTTTAATATTTTATTTATCACTTCCATGTTTTTCCTTTCCTTAGGTAAAGTCTAATGCTGTGAGGGCTCTTGGATATATTTCAAGAATTTTTAAATGTTCAACTTCATCAAGTTTCCAGGACATGTCAGTGGACCATATGGACCGTGGTACTAAGGCCTTTACCTCTGGTGATGAACCAAAGGTTTTTCAAGGGTATAATTCATACTCTTGCCAGTTGTATTCTTCAGAAGATACTCATAGGCTGGAGAAAATGGTTCAGGCAATTATTTCTTGCATTACAACAGGGAATGTTAAGGTATCATATCTTCAATGTCTTAATTTGTCTTCTCTGAAAGTCTAATTTCCCACTGTTAATTCCACTCCTTCTTTGTTAAGGATTGAGTCTTTTTTTAACAGGTCCAGTGGAATGCTTGTCATGCATTAGGCAACCTATTTCTGAATGAAACATTAAGGCTGCGAGATATGGATTGGTATAGTAAATGGGCTGTTATTGCTTCTATCAATAATTGTTTGTTTTTGTTCGTGTTAAAAAATCATGGGCCTGTTAGTGCTAAGCATTTTGAAACTATTTTGTTACTTTTTATAGGTTTTATCATCATCACGAGGGAAATCTTCCTTTGTTTATGCATTTGTGAGATACATCACACACACACTCAAATAAAATAGGCAGATGCATATTTCACTTTCTTTCTTAATTTTTAAATTATAGAGAGAGAGAGAGAGAAAATGTAGAAATGAGATTTATGTGCACATATTATCACAAGTTTTATCCCTTTAAGTGAGGCTAGATTCATGAATCGTATAATGCCATTAGACTTTATTACACCCAACATTCATTACTATATAGATTACTAATCTTATAGTAGTTTGGTAAAACTTACCTTCACTTTCAAACATAGTAAGTGCTTTGTGATAACATGTAACCCTTGGTTTTCAACTATCTAACCTGTATCCTATGCATAACATCTTTATCAATTTCATCATCATGTACTATCAAATCCCAAATACATGAACTTTGACACTTATGGTATGGATTCTCTAATTTTTACCTCATAATCATTTCTAACTTACCTTTTGTTAAATTTGCAGTGCATGTATTTCATCTTGATCCTACGTAGGCAGAAATCTTCTGATTCTAAAATTTGTGTTCATAACTCAAGTTCAAAGTTAACTTCTTCTCTTGACTCCTCAATTAAAACTATACCATCTGTAAAGAGAATACGTGTTAAAATCCTAGTTCTTGAAGAATATGCATGATGGGATCACTAAAGTTATAAAAGCTTCTTGATGGAGAGGACATGTCATTAATTGAAATTTTTACCAATTTGGTGTCTCAATGGAACAAAAAGGACTTTGTGTCTTGGAAGTTTGGGATACACTGCAAACTTGGTCTTGTCCCTGAGGTAGTTTGCCTTTTCCGAAGTAGGTAGAACTTTTTAAAATTTGCTTTCAGACTTAATACTGCTATGTCATGTAAAAAAAAAAAAATCTCTTTTAATTGATCATGTAATTTTCCTACTGTGTGTATTTACTCTGAGCTCTCCTCCTTATGATTCCTCATTTTTTGCTAAATCTTTGATGTAGACTTGTATAATTGTTGATCTATTTTATTCTTGCCTGTTTGCAGGGCTCCATTTGTTTTTGGTATTCTTCTGCAATTATTACGTGATTCATCAAATTTTAAGATCAGGATACAAGCTGCTGCTGCTTTGGCTGTGCCAGTGACAGTGCTTGGTACTAGATATCATCTTGTAATCTGTTTTTGTTTCGTGTTAAATTTCTGTGAAGCTTGCCCTTTTCTGTGTTCATTTTCTTAGACAAGTTGAAGGTTCTATATATGGCTATGGTGTTTTCCTTTTGAAACTAATTATTTATGACATCAAGTTATCTGGAGCAAGTATGGTTTGGATGAGAATGGTTGAGGTGCTGACCAGCCATAGAAATTCATTTTTCAGGGTTATTGATATTTTCTGGTCAACAGCATCATTTTACTTTGTGGCCTGTCTTTATAAATTTCAACCTTTATTTATTTTATTTTTTTTTACAAGGGCGATAACAAGTAAAAAAAATGTTTGATAAATGACATAAGGTTAGAGGAAAAGAGAAGGGACAATATATTTAGAGAGAAGAGTCTGCTGTGGTGGCCTTATAATCAAAGTGATAAAGACCACTATGGATGCTAATATTTCTCTACCCTTTTGGGCACAATCACATTCATTTAATCTTTAACTTAAGTATCTCTGATGACTTGAGAAAGAAATTGAACTTCATCTCGTACTCTTAATAGATGACTGCCTAGGTATTAATATACACCTATGTACATCATAAATGAGAGCTGACTAATCATAGGATTCTGCCCAGTAATCACCCGATTTGATCCTCCCTCAATTATAATTACATTATTCCCTGATTGCTTGCTAATTGGACACTCTCCACATTTCCTGCCAGACAGAATTCAAGTATCTTATGACAGAATTCCACTTTTTCCACTTGACAGAATTACATCACTTGGAAAATGTGACTTGTAATTTAGTTTTTTTAAAAAAAAAAAAAACTTTAGAAGACAATCTTTTTAAGCTTTTTATCATCTTATTTTAAGATAGTTCTATTTTAAAATTTAATGTTTTGATTTGGATAATATTATTTTTGAGTATTTTGTTGAATTTCTACAAATTTCCTTTGGCATCCCTACTCTATTTTTTTTCTCTCTCTCTAGAATATCACTGATGAACCTAATATATCTATTGTAACAATGCTTTATAGTCTTCTGTCATCATTTTTTCAGGTTTTATTGCCTTTCGCTGATTACTTGCAACTTGCTCTAACTTTTTTTTTTTTCCCCACCATTTCAGTAGCATATTCTGATTATGATCCATTCACTCATGTTGTAACAGATTATGGGATATCCTTCCCTGACATTGTGCAAGGTGTAGGGCACGTGATAGAGAATCTAGGTGTGGACTCAAATTCAGCACCAACAAATTTCAAGTATAAGATTGCATTGCAGAAACAGGTGAAACTCCCTATTCATCATTGCCATGTGGAGTGAGTAATTGTTGTCTAGTAAGACAGAAAAGTCTTGGCGTCATGGTTTGTAATGCTAAATTAATATCAACCTTTTTCAACAAGATTTAGAGGCTTATGTTACAATTTTGGTAATTGATGATTTTCAATAACAATTGACATTTTGATATTTATTTTCTTAATTTATTTGGCTGTTATAATTTTGGGAAAGAAAGTGTTACATGATATGGACTTCTTTCCTGGTTGGAGGTACTGTATTTAGTGTTTGAGCATGAATTATATGGTATCGTTATGTTTATTTTCAGGTAGGTCTTGAGTCATTGAATTGTGAATTTGATATTTCAGTCCCCTACTGATGTTATGGCTTAGCTGAATTCATTTATTTTTATCGACAGCTAACCTTGACGATGTTACACGTTCTAAGCTTAGCCTCAAGCACAAAGCACGATCCCTTGAAAGCTTTTCTTGTGAAGGTAAGCTTTTGACATACTTGTCATGAGGAAAAACCAATAATGGAATTTGTATTGTGAATGGAAAGGAAAAACAAGGGAAGGGAAGCTTAACCCTTGTTTTTTTTTTTTTTTTTACTTTCAAATTTTTAATCTTTTTAAGACATAGCTGCTACAACTACATGCCACAAGATATATATTTAAATAGTACTCCCGATTCCATAGACATGGTTCATAAAGCCATGTGTCTTGTGCTACTTTTGTGAACCAAACAAGCTTGATTGCATCATTTATGACGTTCTTCCCTAATTTTGCCTGAATATTTAATCTTTTGCTTGAAATCGCTTCTCCCTTTTCAGCCTTCTTTTCTATTGATCCATGGTTTGCCTAAGTCCCTCCCACATTACTTTAAGCCGTTATGAATGCTCCATGAAAGTGACACGCTGCTTTCGTTAGTAATTGCATTAATTCCCTGATTCGTTACTGCTTTATTAGTTAGGATTTCATGTCATTTTTTTGCCTTTTATTTTTCTTTTTCCAGCTCCTCTAATCTTGTGTACTTGCTCCTAGTTATGTCTTTTATTTCTTTCCTTCGTTTGGGATTTTGATCTGATTCACAACTGTCTTCTCCCTATGTGAATTCAACCATGATTAACAAATCAAATAGAGCATAGAGACCTAAAAACTCTGGCTTTTTTTTCAGCTTTGATAGGATGTTGATTATACAGTTGAATGAATCTCCAAATAATTTTTACAGTTGAATGAAAATTCTTCTATGTTGATTTTTCGTTATTTGATTCATGTAAAGAAAGCATCATTCTTAGAAGATTGGTTCGTGGCTTTGTGCTCGTCTGTAGAAGAGGCATGTCAGCTTGATGCCCAAGATAAGTCCATTGAAGATCGGAAGAAAGTAATGATTTCCAGAGCCATACAATCACTTATGGAAGTGTACAACGAAAAAGAGCACCATGCAATCGCTCAAAGTTTTGAGGAATTGAAAAACAAAGTATGTGCCGAATGATAAATATTCGTCTTTCAGTTTCATGTATACCATTTTAGGATGGAGGTGAGAGACTCTGGTTAACCGCCAATCAATAGAAGCAAGACAAGGATGGTGAAGCGCATAGAAAAGCTCCTTGCAGTGACCGTGAGAGAAGCTGATGACTGGACTGGCGAAGGATGTAATGAAATTAAGGAAGACGGTCATTGGACATTGTGTCCCAAGCTATTCGGCATCTGAGGTATCTTCATGATTAGTGCTTTTTACCTCGGAATGGAATGGAATGTCAATTTAGAAATTCCTTTTTGTTTTTCTTTGTATTAATTCTCATCTTTTTATATCAATTTCTAGATATGTATAGGCTATGTTAAGTTAGACAGGCTATAAGCTGAATTTTGAGTTATGTGCATACATTCAAAGCTCTAGTCCCCAAGCATTTTTTAGGTCACTTAATTTCTTCTCTTTTAGGGGTAATGTTGTAATTTTGTTTTTTAACACTTGAGAGTAGCTCTCCCAATTCCCAAATACATTTTATGCATTTACACATATTATATTGTAAATTATTTGATATCCATTTACCACTGACTAATTTTAATTTGGGTTAGGCTGGGCCTTAACCCATGGTTTGGATTGGGAGAAAAATAAAGAACTCTAAACAATAATTAAAAAAAATACTATTTTTTATAAGTTTTACGTGCGAATATTTTTCTATCCAAACCAAGTTTAAGTAAAGCAAAGCTTTCCCAACATACTAAGTTTGAATTTGGAGATCAATTTTTATTTCAATTTATGGATGATTTGAAAGAGTTACCTTTGTTTTTGTTGGTGAGTAAGATCAATTTTTATTCAGTTATGTATTTGACATGAATATTTTAAATGTTTATAATATAATCCTCTCCCAAAAATTATGTGGCTTGCTTGGGAATAATATTTGGAAAAGTGACAATTAAGGATTCTCTAAAAAATATTTGAAAATCCCAATTAACGACTATGGTTCTTAATTAAGATAAAAAAAAATATAATTTGTGAGATGAGATTTACTAATATCACTTGAAAATTCATTAACATAACTTGAGAAAATTGATGATATATATTGTAAAAATATGAAACTCTATTTGGGAATCAATTATTTAACAAAAAGCACCATTTAAAAATTCACTAATCAGACTTGAAATTTTTTTTAAAGTATATTGTGAAAACATGAAACTTCACTTGAAAATTGATTGTTTAACAAAAAATTTTAATTTAGACAAGTCACTTTTTATTAAACAATCGATTCTCAAGTGAGATTTTATTTTTTTACAATATACATTACAAATTTTTTTAAGTCTGGTTAGTAAATCTTCAAGTGACGTTTTTTGTTAAGCAATTAATTCTTAAGTGGAGTTTCATATTTTTACAATATATGTTAAAATATTTTTTAAGTCAGGTTAGTGAATTCTCAAGTGATCTTTTTTATTAAACAATTGATTTTCAAGTGGAGTTTTATATTTTCATAATATACATTAGAAATTTTTTTAAGTCAAATTAGTGAATTTTTAAGTGATGTTTGTTAAATAATTTATTCTCAAGTGGGGTTTTATATTTTCATAATATATGTTAGCAATTTTCTCAAATTGGGTTAGTGAATCTCCAAATAGCGTTAGTGAATCCCATCTTATAAACTATATTTTTTTATATCAATTAAAAATCATGATTCTTAACTGAAATTTTAAAATGTTATGTTTTTGATTGAAATTAATGTTCTATTCTCAATTGTCATTTTCCCATAATACTTGATGGACAATGCAGTCAGGAATCTACAAGGACGGCAATCAAAGGTTGTACTTCAGTACTCGGGCAGTCAGGCTAATGAGTTGGGCTTGACCTTTTATCAACCTTTCTTCTTATGTGAGAAGTATTTTTCCTTCCTCACTGAATTTTGTCATATTTTTCTTTCCAGTATTAAACCATCAATTTTAAAATCATATTGGATTTTCAGCCAAAAAAATCATATTGGATTTTGATCTTCTTCAATTTGAGTTGTATAAGACCTCAAGGGCAGAAAAACTTATCCAATAAATTTTATATTGAATCCCAAGTGTGATTAATGGCCCAAAAAAAAAAAAACTAACTGTACTTAGGCCTGTCATGAGAGTGTATTCTATGTAATAACAAGACCCTTTGTATTGTATCTATAAGCACTCATTGAGTTTGAGAGCATGCTCTAATTTTGATAAATTCTTGGGATCCATCTTATTTAAACTTTTCTTTTACAAAGAAAAAGGGACCCTTTCAAGTACTAAATAAAAATGTTTAATAAAAATAAAAAGAAGATAACCTCTGCTTTTTTGCTTTCATATTTTGAGAAAAATAATCTGTTATTGGTGACTGGTGAGGTTTATTTTTCGTGCTCATAAAAAAATAAAAAGGAAGGAAGGAAAAACATGAAGAATATTTCATGGAATTATACGATAGGATGAAGCATTTTGTGCGCAAGAGAATCCAAGAAGTTAGAGAAGAAGAAAGCAACAACACTGAGATCGTACGGATGTGAATAATGATTGAGAGGGTCTTGTCTTTCACCCTGTTTTATAATATCAAAGGCATGTTTTAGTGCTTCCCTAGCTGGCTTGTATATATGCACCAAACACATGCCCTCCCTCCCTCCCTCTCTCTCTCTCTCTCTCTCTCTCTTATATTTGAGAAAACATATGTGCCAACATACATTATAATATCTTCACCAAAAGCATTCCAGATCCAGCATCGTTTATCTGTCATTTCCTCCTTCCATTCTTCTACTTCTTTCAAAATTTATAATTAGTTTCAATTAAAAAGAGGTAAGAAGAATATTCAATTATAATAACCGACAATGATGCGTGATATGTCCAACCATATATTCTAGGTCAAAAGGCTGAAAAATATAACAAAATATTTTAAGATAGAGAATATACAAATTATTACTTAATGAGGCGAGTAAATTAAGTATATTATTGACCTGAACAAGAGGGAAAAAACAAACAAGCAGAGAAGACATACTGAATCACTAACACTAATATAAAGGAAGAAAAGAATAAAGGCAATCTAAAACTAGAACCCAGATCCAAATATTTTAAATGATATATAAGATCAAGAATATTATTCTAGTTAGTAAAACAAACAACCCAACCAAAAAAAAAAAAAACCTTGATGACATTGGAAACTAGATTAACAGTAATCTAAATGGTAGGCTACGCAATACACCCGCACACAACAAGTTGAAGGCTTGAAGTGTTGAACATTAGAGGATGATGATGATCTCTCAAATCTAGTGGGCTATATATATATATATATATGCATATATATCACTATCAACAAATTAAGAGGATATATATATATATATACAGAGAGAGAGAGAGAGAGAGAGAGAGAGTAATAAGCAAATGATCCCACAAACCAATTGTTGGAGGCTACATGTGAATGCAATTCCATGCTTGCATGATAATGAGATATATGCCCGTCCTGTGCTCCTCTCTCTCTCTCTACACATGTTTTCTCCCTCGATTTAAGCGTACACACGCACGCATGCTAACAATAATCAAATTGAGTATGAGGGATCAGATAGAATTTGTGACTCGAACTTTATGAATGACAAAAATCATGTTGAAAGAATAACTATATCCTTTTATTCATAACCTAACAATGTCTCAATCTAAATTAGTCGGAAATACCAAATATATGATGTGCATATATACATATATATATATATATATATATATATATGCGCGCATGCTTAGAAGCATAAGGGGGAGCAATAGGAAGAGCATAATGGAGAGAGGGGCAATGGGTATATATTTATAGAGATATTTCAAGGCACGCAATGATTCTAACGATCATGTGCCTCTCCACTTACAACTACAACACCATTTACTCTATCCATGCCATTGCCATCTCTCTCTACTTGATTGATTGATTGATTAATTAATTATATTATTCATTGCTTCATAATTCGTTCAATAATAATAAAATTTCCCTTTTTCTCTCTCACTCACAATCAATAATCAATTTGCCTATAAATGACCCATCAAGCATATATATGCCTAGATCCGAGTATATTATATATCATTTCAGCAATCATAACCGTAAAATCATTCTCTCTCACATAATTGAATTTCTGTGTCCGTGCTGTGGTGGGGGACTGCTCTGTATAAAATCACTCCCTAGCTCCATAATCCATAGGAAAAACAAAACTAAAAAAAAAATATAATATATACTCTATCTATTAAAAAATAGTCAATATTGTTAATTAAATCTTATCTCATAATGAAGTAATTATTTGTATTTAGATTAAAACTATCGTATATAATAAGATGTTTCACTTTGAAATATATATATAAAGTAATCTTTTCAATTGGAAATAGCATATATATATATATATATATATATAGAGGCTTTGCTGCCTGAAATTTGAAACTTGGTATCCGGGATTTGCACTTCAGAATTCATTGTTGTTGTTCCACGTCACTCCAACTTTGAAGCATGTAATGTTAGTGGATTATTATTTTCATAAGTACCCCAGTACCATTTTGGCATCATTTTTTTGGAATCTATATGTGGGTGTCTGTAGTACAAGTCCTTTAATTAACTGTACTAATTCCCATATATATATGTTGTTAAGTACATTTTTGATATTAAGAGTTAGGATGATCATTGTTTCTTCATGGATCAGTGTTTAATTAGTTAGTTATATCAGAAAAGCATTTCTCTTCATCATCACTTTTGAGTGAAATGCATGAAGAAAAAATATTGGAAATTTTTCATTTTAAACTAGAGTTAATTGTAAGTAATTAGAGATAATGAAATTTTTAATTCCTTAAATTTATCTCAATTATTGATTTAGTCCTTGAAGTTTAGTTTTTATTAAATTGGTCTTCACAATCACAATTAATTAGTATTTTTTTTTTGTTTGAGGGTGAAATAACATCATAAAAACTAACTGTGTATAGTTTTGAAACTTTAGGGATATTATTGATAAAGATTGAGTTTCAGGGATGAGATCAATAATTAAGATAGACTTAAAGGACAAAAAATTTTATTATTCTAAATAATAAATTCAAAATATACCACTTGAAGACCACAAATCAATGTGCAGTGTGTCTGTGTGTGTGCGCTTTTCTGTTTTCAATATAATCTTACCCCTTTGATATCCTTGAAGGTCACAGTTCCTTTTCTCTTTTATTGTCATCTGAACTTTTAGCATCAAATCACCCTCCACAACACACACACACACACAATGAAGTTAAAGCAAAGTAATTATTATTATTATTAACCCCTGTTTCCATTAATTGTTTGGTGATCAAGCTCGCTGAGATGAGTACAACATGTATATCCATTACACTTGGAAGTGAAAATATCTGCTGTAAAACAATTAATTAATTAATTTCAATTCGAACCCATTAACTAATAACTATATATATACACACCAGTAACCACCAAAGTATATGCATCTTTTTTTAAATTTCCAGTAAAATTGTAGCAGCTTTGAATAGAAAACTCAACTAGCTAAGCTAGTGAGTGAGTAAGATATA